CACATACATATATATATGTAAGACGAATGTGTTATGTTTATATATTAAATATATTTATATATAATATAATAATATAAATGTATATACATGTAAATATTTCCAAAATATATACTGTATGTGTGTGTATTTATATATACATAAACACAGTACACATAAATATATTATGTAAACAAAAACGTTTATTTTGGATGCGATTAATCGCGATTAATCGTTTGACAGCACTAATATTTTTATATTATGTTTATATTTAATAAATGCAATTTAAAATCTAAAATAAAATCTAAAATAAAAATAACATTCTGTAGTATTAATAAATTAATGATTAATTCTTTACAATTATTATTTTAATAACATGTATTTATTTGAATAAATACGAGTTTTGAAGAAATATGTAATTATTTTAATACTATGATGAATAATTTATTATTGTTTTATTATTTATTTACTTATAATTTATATTGTTATATTTACATAATTTAATGCTTAATTTTAATTCAATATTTAATATTAAGTTATTTTACACAATATAATTTATACAATTATATTTTTATTTATTTTAATAATATATTAATAATGATAACAATTATATGTATTTAATTATGTATTATATTAATATTTAAATACATGTTTATTGTATATTTATATGTATTTTAATAATACATAATTATTTTAGTAATATTTGTAATTTATTTAATATATTTTATTACTTATTTATCATTTATATTTATATAATTCAATTATGCTTAAATTTAAAAATTGCTATATTCATTTGAATACAATATTTATTTTTCATACTGTATGTAGTGACCAAAGTGTGATTTCCATGTCGCTTCATCTAGACGCCGTTACAGTGAATTTAATAGTGCTCCAATAATGAGATGATATGATACGATGGTTTAGTTTATTCACATAAAAAAAGGTAATAAACAATTAGTACAGTGGCGTTATCCAAAACAAACTTATTCTAAACAGCATTTGAAACCTTACTTCTGCTGGCCTTTTCCACAGTTCCAGGAGGGACACATTTAAACAATATTTAAACAATCTTTCATATGACTAACATTCTTTATCCAGCGGGTGTCACTATATTGACAT